GGAGCGGCCACTGCACTTCAGTCTGGGCGACAGTGAGACTCCAACTCAAAAAAAAAAAAATCAAATAAAATGGTCTTTGACTACAGACTTTTTTTAAAAGAAATAATTTAAACATAATCGCTTTATCCACTATTTAGATCCCATTTGGAGCAAGGGTTTTAAAACAAATGAGAAGTTTGGTCAGGATCTTGTTGAGATCCTTCTCTACCTCCTGGCATATGAATCTTCCTACCATAAACATTTTCATTGGACCCTGGTCCCAGCAATTATAACCACCACCTAACTGCTAATTAGAATACAAATATTTTAACTCTTTTAGAGCTAGAAGAGCCCCACCATTTTGCCTTAGGAAAAACTGAGCGGCCCAGGGAAGATAATCACCTGGATATCCTGACTTCTGTTTCATTGCTCCATCTTCCATGATGAATGCCTGAGCAACCCCTCAGCTTTCCAGCCTCTCCACCCCTGAATAACCCCTTCTCTTTCCTATCAGTGCCTGAAAAAGTGCTTTTGGATTTACTCAAGGCTACTCTCATTGATGAACATAATTTGTCATCTTAAAGAGATCCCACTGTTTTCTTTAATAAACATTTTATAACCATTGAACAAAGCATATTTTTGTAGAAAAGCACAAGGTTTACAAAATGGTACTATTTCTATAAAACTTCCAAGGTTTAAAAATATCTGCCACTAGAGTTTATGGCTTCTAAGTTTCCTTTCATCTAAGAAATATGATTATATTTTAAAAGTCTAAATATAATTTTTTAAAATTTGTCTCTTTAAATCGAATCTGTTTTTCAGTTAAGAATTCCGAAGTTACAGTTTCTTTTTTTTTTTTTGAGTTGGAGTCTCACTCTGTCACCCAGACTGGTGTGTAGTAGCCGCTTCCAGCCACTGCAGCCTCGACCTGCTGGGCTCCTTCCACCTCAGCCTGGAACTACAGGCGTGCGCTACCACGCCCAGCTAATTTTTTATTTATTGTAGAGATGAGGTCTTGCCAAGTTGCCCAGGTGGGTCTCGAACCCGCAGGCTCAGGCAATTCACTCACCTCAGCCTCCCAAAACACTGGGATTACAGGATGAGCCACCAAACCCGGCCAAGTTACAGTTTCAATACTTTGATTATCAGATATCATGTTTATAGACATTATGATTAGTACTCAGGAATGATATTCATGAAAGGTACTGTTTTTTTAATTGTAAAACAATCTAATAGATGTCAGTCATTAGAAAACTAGCACATGTAAGTCATTAAGAAAAACATTAAAGAAAAACAGAACTATTCCAGTATTCTTACCTTAGACCCTGACAGCATACTGGTCAGCATTTTTGTTCCCCTTCCAATTCCAACCACTACAAATCAAAGAAAGAAATATTGTGACACTCTTTTAAAATAGCTACATATTTTGGTCATGATTTCCTTGCTTATGTAATGTGAAGTTGGAAAGAACATATATTTAGTATAATATGAGCGCTCCCATTACTCTAATCAGTTGAACTCGTCATGCAACTAAGAAATTCTGTGGAAGGAATAAGAGAAAGGCTTTTTTACCAATTCTTAAAGTGTTAAACTTCAAAGAAACCTCAACCCAGTCAATTAGATAATGATATTTTAGAACAATCTCAAAGGACTCACTGGAATTTTATATGGGCACCAGTGAAAAATATATGGTACAATTAACCATGTTCAAGTGGTATGATGAAGTCTTTTGATAGAATTCATTATTAAACAAAGCAAAGTCATCATCATGGCTAATGAACCATTTAAAGATGATTAGTGCCCAGCAGTATAAGATCAAGAAAAGGGAAACATAACAAATTAACCTAACACAAAGAAGAACACAAGGTAAAATCAGGGCCTAGAGAATGAGTCAGTGGCCCACTTTTCTTTTCAATTTCATATGTTATATAACACATTTTGCCAAGTGAGGGTGAAAGAAATTCATCATTTCTTCACTTTTTGAAAGAATTGAAGTATTTGTCATCAACATATACAATTATGTTTAAGAACACAGCTCAGAATTACAAGAGAAAATAATCAGTAATGATTGGCAAAATGAAAAAATTATCATCAATATTTACAGCAAATATCATTCAGTAAATTTACCATGAATCAGAGTCCACTCTAAATGCTTTCCATTCATTACCCCATGTAATCTCTATAACAGCTTTAAAAGGCAATATAATCACCCCTATTTTACAGTTGAAGCACAAAAGACTAAGAACTTGGTGTCCTTTCTGCAGTTAAAATTCAAACCACCTGGGCACAGTGGCTCATGCCTGTAATCCCAGCACTTTGGGAGGCAGAAACGAGAGGACTGCCTAAACTCCGGGGTTCGAGACCAGCCTGAGCAACATGGCCAGACCTCATTTCTACAATAACTCAAAATATTAGCCAGGTGCGGTGGCACATGCTTGCAGTTCCAGTTACCTGGAAGGCTGAGGCGGAAGGATCGCCTGAGCCCAAGCAGGTCAAGGCTGTGGTAGCCGTGAGCATGGCACTGCACTTCAGTCTGGGTGACAGAGTGAGATTCCCACTCAAAAAAAAAAAAATTCAAACCAAACTAACAGCAGACCCCCTTCCTTTCCATTCTTCCTGCACCTTACTCATTGAGGCCTTCCTTCCACTGCCACCAGCCTAAGCCACTGTAAATCTGACTGTTCCACATCCTATCTCTTTCTCTCCCAATTCATATCATTTCATAACCATTTCTGAAACCCAATTTTATACACTACAAAGTGCCCATACAATCCTTAATACGGTCCTAATGCCTACAGCACCAATTCCTTAGTGAAGTATTCGATGTCCATCCTTTGAAGCCCAGCTCAAATCCCAACTCATTCATAGAGTCTACTCCAAACCCCTCAAAATTTCTATGACACTAATCCACATGGATCCTTTATCACTAAATAGGTCAATTTAGTTCAAGGACTAACATAGAAAGCTATCTGCCCTCAGTATCCTCTGAAGAACACAATACTCTTCAAATGACAGAACTTGTTGAACCTGCTGCTGATGAGGCAGAAACTCTGTTTAATAACAACAAAGATTAAATGCAATTTGATTCCATTCAAATAAATTCCCAATCAATGCTTTTTTCTGAACAGCTACTATGCACATAGTCCCAAAAGGAGTACTTCTAATGGAACAACAAAGAAGCCTGAAACACATTTCCTGGCTTTGAAAAAGTTTATAATCTCATTGGGAAAATAAAATACAGCAAGGAAAATCAGTGTTCAAAAAAATGTTGACTGAGCCAATGCATGAATAACGCCAAACAGCAAAATGACAGTATATGATTAAGTGTCAAAATGAACAGAGAGAATAGCTCACTCTAAATAGCTAGAGACCAAGGAGTACTTACTTAAAGCATTTTAGAGTTTGAGTTAGGCCTTGAAGGAGGTAGAGAGAACACACAGAGAGAAGAGAAGCATGTTCTAAGGAAAGAACAAACTACACAAACTCTAAGATACAAGGATGAGAACAGTGGGCTTACCAACCAGAATACAGGATGTCTGAAAAGTACACTGACATGTTTGACTTTATCATAGCTGAAATACTAAAGTGATGGTGGTTTAACCCTCTCATTTTATATCCAAGAATAAGTTCCATCAAAGTTAGGTGATTACTGAAAGCAGAATTTTAGGAAGACTAATATGGTGGTGGCATGTAGAAAAATTATCTGAAATTGGGACCCAACTAACTAGTAGTTTTTCATTCCAGGATATAAGTGAAAATTCAAAGGATAGTTTCCAGGACAGGATTTTTTTCCCCATTCATTCAAAATTTTATTCAATATCCATTGAATAGGTACAGAAATAAATAAAACCTGGTTTCAGCCATCAATGGGTTGACAATCTAACAAGGAGACAGATGTTAACAAAACTAAGAGACTAGAATGAAGTATTTCATTAGCAGTATAAAAGAACAAGCAGGCAGACTTCATACTTAGGAGACAGCATTTAAACAAAATGTGCTGACAGAGACGAGCAGCTTATACAAGAAGAAAAACATGAGTAAAGACATTGCATTGGGAAAAATGTGGATAATTTATAGACTGGATGAATAACAGGGTATTCCATGCACTGTCTCATAATTGCTACTCTTACTCTATCTCCCAAATGTTCTGGGCTCAAATGTTTTCTTTGTAAAAACAAAACAAAAAGCAAAACCCACCACCTCCAAACCTTTCCCATGTTCTAATATTCTATTCTCAAATCATAAAGATAGAATTTGTTTATGAGAGCCACTGTAGGACAGGCAAGAGTACTATACATGTACTTCCAAAACTTTCTGCAGTTGGAAATTTCTGATAGAGACCTGCTAATGTCTGTCCATATTGCCACAGCCCCTAGACAAGGGAACATTCCTGAACAACATTCTTGAGAATCAATTCCCTTACCTCCTATGCACTCCCAGTAAGAAACTTCATTGGCTCCTTAACCTCCCTGCAGACTAATGCCCAATATACTGAGAGATATATTCCTGAGCACACTCCTGAGAGTAACCTTATCTCCTATGCATTCCCAGGAAGTAGCTTCAGGGGATCCTTGACTTCCCTGTATACTATTGCCCATCAACTGAAAGACGCAAATCCCCATTTATTCCCTTTTTCTGAGTAGTCATGTTTGAATAATATAGTATCAATGTAATCGTCATTCTTGTGACTTTATAACTTTTGTATCAATGTAATCATAAGTATTGTGATTTTATAAGTTTTGCATAATGCATGATGTCTTTGGTCTTGTAAATTCCCTTTACTCTACGGCAAGCTTGATTAATGTTTCTGCAGGGTCCCACTGATACAAGCTATGAGATACCTCTGATACCTGGCACCAGGAAGTCTGGACCAAAAAACGTCACTATCGATAAATGAGGCTGAAACTCCAGTTCTATACAATGCTCTGCTGGTCATGTGGCTAATGTATAGGTACTAACAACTCTAGACTTATACAAGAGAACTGTAAAGGCCTGGAGGGTGAGTAGAACAATTTCAGAAAGACCTCAAATCTGGTTCTACTTCCTGGATTCGAACTCAGAAATAAACTTTTTTCTACCAGTTCCCCACCCCTTTGATTTATTTTTATCAAGGGAGAGTAGCCGAGTATTACTCAGACCGTAACAATTCTACTGCCATTTTATACAATTCTATAACACCCTATAGATCAGCAGTCTCCAACCTTTTTGGCAGCAGGGACTGGTTTCGTGAAAGGCAATTTTTCCATGGGCAAAGGTGGAGGGGGCCCAAATTATCAGGCATTAGAGTCTCATAAGACGTGCACAACATAAATCCCTCATACACACAGTTCACAGTAGATTCCCCACTCCTGGAGCTCCAATGAGCATCTAATTCTGCCGCTGATCTGCCTGACAGAAGGCAGAACTCCACTCACCGGCTTATCTCCTGCTGCGCACCCTGGCTCCTAACAGGCCACAGAAAGGCTGGGAGCTCCAGCTTTGGATCATCTTATAAGACCTGTATTTTTTCAATTCTAGGAATCTAATGTAATAATCCAAAACCAAAAAAAAAGTCCCATTCGTGGAAATGTTCCTCACAAATCAAGCCTACTATCAGGTACTAAGCTCAATGACTCCAAATAGGGAAGTAGTTAAATAAATTGTATTTTAGCCATATGACAGCACATTATATAGTCATTAAAACTAATGTTTACAAAGAGCTTTTTAAAATTAACATGAAAATGTTCATATTATAATGTTAAGTTAAAAAAATAACCAGAATATACACGGGCATACAAGGAAGTAGAGCTCAACTTCTGAAGTCTGCATAGTTGCAAAAAGCTAGGAAGATATATAGCAAAAATGTTAACTGATAATTGATGGAAGGCGGAAAAAATGAACAATGTTTTATTTTCAACTTTGTTTTTGTTTTCTAAATTTCTTCACTTGTGCTCTAAAGTTAAACTTTTTTATTTTAACATAAAAATTTAGTTTCCATTTTAAGTGATTTATGATAAATGAGTATATTCTTTTCTCATAACTGCTGTAACAAATTACCAACAGTGGCTTAAAACAATACAAACTTTGGCCAGGTGCAGTGGCTCAAGCTATAATCCCAGCACTTTGGGAGGCTGAGGCAAGAGGATTACCGGAGCCTGTGGGTTCGAGAGCAGCCTGGGCAAAACGGTAAGACCTCGTCTCTGCAATAAATTTAAAAGAAAAAATTAGCAGGGCATGGTAGCACATGCCTGTAGTTCCGGTTACTTGGAAGGCTGAGGGAGAAGGATCGCCTGAGCCCAGCAGGTCAAGGCTGCGGTGGCCAGGAACGTGCCACTGCACTCCAGTCTGAGCGGCAGAGTGAGACTCTGACTCAAAAAAAAAATACAAACTTCTTATTGTACAGTTCTGGTGGTCAGAAGTCTGAAATGGGTATAACTAGGCTTAAATCAAGGGTTTGGGAAGGCTGCACTCTTCTCTGGAGGTACTGAGTAAGAATCCTTCACTAAAGGTTCCCTAGGGGTACATCTCTTGCCTTTTCCAGCTTCTAGAGGCTGCTCCCATTCCATGGCTTGTGATCCCCTTCACTCTTCAAAGCCAGCCATCGCATCATTCCAACCTCTGCTTCCATTGCCACATCTCTGACTCTCTTCTGCCTCGTCTTCCACAATAAAAGACTGGTCATAACACTGGGTCTACCAGGAAATTCCAGGACAATCTCTTTAACTTAAAGTTAGCTGATTCCCAAAATTAATTCCATCTCCAACTTTAATTCCTCCTTGTGGTGTAGTTTAACATATTTACAGGTTCTGGAGATTAGGACACAGGCATCTTTAGAGGACCATTATTTTGTCTACTACAGTATTTTTGAGACTTTGCAAGCCCTCTTGTAATTGTGCCTACAGAATTATATACTAGAATTTTAGATTATAGTATTAAATTGTCAGCTAAATTCTTAAATCTGTACCACTAATATTGCAAAAAAAATAAAAATAAAAGCAGTCTAAACTGCTGAAAGTAAAGTATATTTTTTCACATAGGTCCAGTTTTTTATTTTAAAATATACCGGTTAGGCGTGGTGGCTCAAGCCTATAATCCCAGCACTTTGGGAGGCCGAGGTGAGAAGATTGCCTGAGCCCATGGGTTCAAGACTAGCTTGGGTAACTTGGCAAGACCTCATCTCTACAATAAATAAATAAATAATTAGCTGGGCATGGTAGCATACGCCTGTAGTTCCAGCTACTTGGAAGGCTGAGGTGGAAGGTTCACCTGAGCCCAGCAGGTCGACACTGGGGTGGCCATGTGCCACTGCACTCCAGTGTGGGCAATGGAGTGAGACTCCAATTCAAAAAAAGAAAAAGAAAACAAAAAAAACCTTTATAAAACACTTCACAGGGTAAAGTGTATATTATACATTATAGCTATTTCATAATATCTTTCAATAAACTTTGTGAGAGTTACAGTGAATAATACTCCCCCTTTAAGAGATAAAGAAACTGAAATTTGGGGAGATTAAGGAATTTTCTCAGGATGTGTACAGTTAGTAAATAAAGCAGCCAGCAGCCAGTATACAAACCCAAGAATGATTAGAATCCAGTGTTTATTTTACCATACAATAAAAAACAAAATTCTACTTCTCATAAGTTCCTAGAACTGCTAACTTAAATGACAAATATCCCTTATTTTGTGACTAAATACTTACAGGTTTTTTTTTTTAACTTTATCTCATAGGAAGCCACATGCATTAGAAGAAAAATTAATATATTTGACACATGAACATGTTATATCATCATAAAAGTCTGCATGATAAAATATAAATTAAGCCTCCAAATGGAAAATTATTTCCAATACAATTTCTTCCATACATACAAAGCTCAGCCTTTCATAATACTAAAATAAAAACTTCAACAAGATCTCTTAGGCTTGGAGTAAAAAATAAACTTTTATTTGGTGCCTTAAATTACACTATTTTTGCATACCAATAAAAAACAACCACCAGAAATTAATAGAATTGATCTATTCCTAAGAAAGCAGTGGATCGTATCATCTCTCTGTGTTAATGATGCTGTGCCTTGGAAAACAGTAGAGCAGAATGGTAGGACACTAAAAGCTTCAACTCAAGGGGCAACTTTGATCAACTGGTACAGGATACCTAGAGTGCTAGGTGGTAAGAATCATGAAGCCACCTCTGGAATCAATGACAAAAAATGCTGTGATTGATTGGCAATCCCCTGGGTACAGGGCAGAGGGAACAAAGGCAGGAGTGCCAGGTACTTGCCATCCAACAATAGGGCAGATGCTTTGAAACTGAGTGAATCTGGGCTCAAATCCTGACTTTGTCACTCACAAATTCTATGAATTTGTAATAATGGACATTATTACTTTATTTCTCCGGGTCTTTGTTTCTTCTTCTGTAAAATAGGGATAATAATACCTTACAGTAAGAACTAAACTATATAACTTATGAACACCCTAAACAGAATACCTCATATACAGTAAGTGCTCAGTAGATGCTTGTGATCATTAGTTATTATAAAAACAATAAGTAGTCAGAATCAGTCTACTCATGTTCTCTAATCCAGAAAAATTGATTTCCTTGTGATTTTTTTTCTATTTGAACCTCAAGTAAAAATATTTTTGCCAACATGAATTAAATAAAATCTATAATTTTAGAAAATTCAAAATAATACATTGGTTCTAATCTTCCTGAAACGTACCATTTTACCCTTTTTATTTAAATAAGAACTCATTTCACTTGGATTGCTTAAATTAGGGTGTGTTGTTATTTGTTAGTACCTAACTTTCACTCTAAGAAAATGGATTGAATTCTGCAGCACAGTATGTTACAAACCATGAGTCACAACCGGTAAGTGCATCAAGAAATCAATTTAGTGGGTTATGACCAGTTTTTTTAAATGAAATTGAATAAAATATAAAATACCAGAGCATGTAGAAAGGCAAGTATTGTTCCATGAACATTTGTTTCTAGTATGTGGGTAAGCAGGTACTGGGGAGAATCCCAAATATGGATTTCTGGGACTAGACATGCAGTTACAGAGTAAAATATACCCCAACCTGTGTAAAACACTTTAGCACACTTTAGTCCATAAAGTTGGACTTCAGAACCTCTACCAGATGTGGAAAAAAAAGTTGGAATAAAAAAGAATAAAATTTTCTCCCTTTAACCAATTTTCCTCCACAAGAAGTAAAAGTCTTTCTTTCTCTAGAAGAAAATGGCTTCCTCTCAAGAACTACAATGTTCCTCTTCTCAAGAGAGCTGATCTCAAAGATTAGATCAGAGACAGGTAGAAAAAAGAGCCAAATACCTTGTCAGTAGTCCCCAAGACCACCCCTTATTCGAAGATTGACATATAGCGCAGACTTACTACAGTGATGTAGTAAGAATATACAGCTAGATCATAAAGGGAGAAGACACAGAGATGCACAGGCTTCCTGATTCTCTCTCCCTCCTGTGAGGGGGAACACTTGTGTCTCCTCCTTTCTCCAATAAGAAAAGCAGTAACATGCATGCAATGGCTCTCTCAGGGAAGCTCATTAGGAACTCAGTGCCCCAAATTTTTATTGGGGACTTGGGAGGATGATCAGTCAGGTACCCTCTGCCTGAGTGGTGGGACAAAATTCCAGATTCCTAGAAGGAAAATTGGTGTTAATACAAACAGCTGAGGCACAGCAAACCACCCTTATCAATAGGGAAGTATGGGAACACTCCCCAAATTCAAGTTCCCAGACGCCAGTCAAGGGCAAGCTTCGCAAGCAACCTTTCTAAAGACAAAAACGTCATGCCTGCTAACTATTTTTTGCACAGACACAAGCCTTTTTTCAAAGTTGCATCCACACATGAAAGTAGTTACTTCTAACAGCCTTGTATACTTCGTACCATCTAAGGGCTTCTTTAGAAGATGGCACTATAAATCCAGAGGATCTAAAATATCCCAAAATAGACTGAAAATACATGACCTTCATCAATCTTATCTGTTCTCAACCAAGATTTCTTTCTGATATTAAGTGACAGAGGTATTAAACTTCTTTTCATATCTCTTACCCAGAACTCCTTGGGCTGCGCTGTCTAGAGTCCCTCCATGCCCAATTTTCAATGTCTGTTTTTTCCTCTTGGTCCACTCTGGAAAAGGCATTCCAGCTTCTGTAAGAATAATTGGGATGAAAAAAATGTAATTACCAAGACAAATGAAGTAGGACCTCCATAAACATGAGGGGAATAGGAGATGGCGTTTGCAAAACAAATAAGCATTTTACAAACAACTTATTAAAACTATTACCATACTACTAGCAAAGAACAAATTTTAAAATAGACAAATACTCCCCAAATTACAAATAAACAGTATCCCAAAATTAACTGTCTAGAAACTAGAATTCTTTCTCTAAGAAAAAAAAATGTGTTTGAGTAAATATCCACGCTAGCCTGCCATAACCTAGAATTCTTGGTAATAGTGGGCTATTAGATACAGAACGATGAAAAATCAATTTTGATATAGAAAGCTAGTTTTAAAAGTCTTCAATTTCCATTTCTAAACCTCTTTCGTGTTCTTCACTAGAATCTAATCTACAGCTACCTCATATTGGGGGTGCATCTCATGCAAGGCTACTTCTAAGATCACTAAGTTCCCAAACTACCTGTATTTGTTGTTCCTCTCTCCTAATCAAAGCTTTCAACTCATCAAAGAAGCTAACCTGAACAAAATACTACATGGGAAGTAGGTAACGGTTAGTTCTTAATTCTGAATTCTTAATTCATCTTAATTCTGAAGCATTTAGATTTTAATAAAAGAGGATGCCAACCTGCCAGATCTCATATTCCTATTGTAAAGATAAAATCAAATAATGTTATCTGAAAGAAGCACTGTTATGATGATGATGATGATAGCATATCAATATATTGAGAAAATACTTGCTACTGGACTTCAAATGAGAAAGAAAAGAGGGAACAGCTGTACTGATTGATCTGTACCCTCCAAATCCATCAAACCTTCTTTGTCACCACACTGATACCAAGAAGATAGCAAATAAAGCAAAGAAAACAAGAAGAGAGGACAGAGAAAGGACTAGGGGACGCAAAGCAACAATGGAAGTGGAGAAGCCAGATTAAACGGCCAGCAGGATAGGCTGGGTTGCTCAGCCTCCCAGCATAACTACCAGGCTACTGGGTCAAAACCATGGTCTCTGGAATACCCTGGCGTCATTCTCTGAAAAGGACATCATCATACATGGAAAGGCATGCCTGTCTGCTTTGACATACACCTCTAAGGCCTTAACTAGGCTTCAAACACTTCACCTGTCATTTGCAATCCATCACAAATCTCTCATCCATGAATTTACAGAAATCTTTTGGGGAACTCTTTGTATTTTCAACTTGACATTCCTTGGAGTAAGAAGGCCCCATGAATTTACTGTCTTCCCTCTGTGCCCAAATATACCTCCTTCTAACTTGCAGACCTATGGCTTCTACAATACTGGAATTTGTATTACCCCACTGAACCAAATATTCATGGATAAATATTTATTAAAGTTTTTTGTAGCTATAAAATTTTAGTATGCTTCCGGCCTTGAAGGATTCAAACAGAGATGAGGAGTGGGGATTGTAATTTGACAGGAATCAACACAAGGAAAGGTAAGGAATATTATTAGAAGCCACTGACTGTGACCTAAATCAGTGACTGTCAAACTTGGCTGGCCTAAGAAAGTAGGTATATTTAAGAACTTTCTCAGTCATTCTGATAGTCAGTTGAAATGACATTTGAGAAGCCCTAGTCTTAACACAAATATAGCCTAGGTCAATCACAAGCAATATTGAAATAGAGACTAATGAGAATGTCTACAGCTGAATGTGTGGCTTCCAGAAAATGGCCTAACTATAGCCTCGAAATAGTCAATTTTAACCAAGTTTCAACAAGAAACTTCAGTTCTTAGAGGTGGATTAACCAGAAGGCCAGGATATGGCTTTGATTCCATCAGAAACTTGTCTAAAGGAATGGTAATCATTACCTTGGAAAAAAAAGTTATAGCTTAGCTACAAATCAGGAAGTAGCAATTCTATAAAGAAAAAGAAAAACGATGATGACACCACAATGCTTACCCCCAATGCAAGTCCTCGCTTCAACATATCCTATATGACCCATCCTTACAGGCAACAAAGTATAAGGAAAGCTCAACAAAAGAATGAGTAGGTATAATCCTGGAATTAAACATCTGCAAGAGTGTAACCTATTTGCCAATAAGCATTTAAACCTATAGTCAGTTAAAATTTAAAAACTCTCATTGGAATAATTTGGTTTTGCATTTTTTAAACAGTGTTAAGTTTGCCAGGGGATGCTAAAAAATGTAAGAAAGTTCCTGTACTGGCTTAAAGGCAAGACAGGATAAGGCCAAACTCTGGAGGGTCTTGAATAACCTAGTTAGCTAGTTTTACCACCTAAGGTTTCAGGAATTATTAGGCTACGAACTCAGTTAAGGGAAGAAACAGTAACTTTCATCTTCATGTTTCTATAGGTTAGCACAGATCTGGATTATTGTAGGTGTCCAATTAACTTAGGGATCCTTGATTCCACTGTGAAATGATCTACTGGTCTGACGAACTGTGTGAGTTGAGTAAACAAATAAATAAAAAGAATGCGCTTACATAAATGACCAAGTTATATTTAGTGTTCCTCAAAACGTGGTCCATATGTTACTCTCACTAGAATCACCTGGAGCAACTGCCTAAAAATTCAGTTTCCTAAAAAGACCCGGACTCTCAGAATCACAATTTCTGAGAGAGCAAGGATTAGAAATCTGCATTTGTACAACAGACTCTAAGTAATTTTTATGTCCACCAAAATGGGATAACCACTGTATTAGGTCTTAGTTAACTAAGTATATCTGTATTTCCAATATATTTTTAAGAATGTAAGTTCAAGGGTGCAGAGTTAGTGCTTCCTTTTTGATAGGGTTCATCCACGTGAATCAAACAAAGGCCCCACCCCCCACCCCGTAGGGTTCAGATTACAGAAAATAAGTCTGCACATCTAAAAGGTTTATTGTGTAAGTATGTTTTGTTTTGTTTTATTTTACTCTTTGAGAACCACAAGTGTCAAATAGGCCACTAGGGTTCACGCAAGTGGAAGCCCGAAACGCCCCAGATTTCTATCCAGAGTTAATTCAGTGGTCATTCACCCTTTCCCTTTATCTCTTGAGCCATGAGCGTCGCAAAAAGCCCAGAGTGCTTCCCCTCTCGCGGCGACCGCCTCAGCCTGGTTCCTAGCCAGGCTGCAGTACCTGCCAGCAGCTTCTCCTTCAACCGATTCAGCAGCTCGGCTGAAGTGGGCCCTTTGGGCTTGTGCACCGCGAACACGCCGCTCAGTGACAGCAGCCTAGTAGCCAAAGCGGCCTTCGAGACCCTGGCTTCGGATCCGGTCCTAGCCGCGGTGGCCGCCACCGCCGCCGCTGCAGCGGTCGCTGGCAAGGCCGCAGCCATTCCTGCGGTCGTTCCTGCAGTTGCAGGGACTGAGTCTGTGTCAGTTTTCAAGGACGACGAAAACGCCACTGCCGCCTCGGGAGCCGCCATGCTTTCATAGTCAGACGTATTTTTTATCCTGGAAGCGCACGCTGATGACGCAACAAGAGTGCGCCTGGTATGCCCCCTTCCCCACACTGCAAAGCTGTGCGGACCGAGGGGGCGTCGCAAGGGCTTGTGGGAATTGTAGTCCACGGCCTTCTCGTGCAGGCCAAGGGCTTGCTGTGCCTTCTGTAGGTTCTTCTATAATGTTATCTGCTTCTTACATGGACTTAGTTCCGTGCTGCAGGGGTAATTTGGAGCTGCAGTCCTAAACTGATGAACCCAAACACCAAGTCTGTCTGTGGGTATTAGGCGGGGAACCTTTTAACATACCACAGCATCCTCCTCTCCACAACTACGAGGACCCAACATCCAAAAACTTACAATACTTTTGCTGAGGCTTGTGAAGATCCATGGCTCCCTGGGATCACCACTTCATTATATGTATTGTGCTCTTGGGTTCACAATTTAGAATTAAAATACATAAGATTGTAAGCTCCACTAGAGCGAGGAACCTGTGTACCATGTTCACTACTATATCCGAAATGCCTCACATGCAGTAGACACTTAAGTCAATATTTGGGAATGTATAAATGAATATGAGTTTCTCAAATTCCCCAAACTTCTAGGCACGGCAGTGCTAGATCACTTGGGCTTTTTTGGATGCCCTTCATGTATGCCTGTTCCCCCACTGCAATCCATAATAATTCTAAAAGTTTTATTACCAACTCTTCTGTGGGTTGCATTCCTTAGTACACATTGCTTAGATATCAAAAGGCATTATTGCAATTCAAAAATTAAACTTTCAATGGAGACTTCTTTAACAGATCTCTTACAAGATTTAGGAACATCATTTTGATCCTAGCACAAGGCAGAGTGGAGAAAAATTTTTCATTTTACATATGCTCCAGATACATTAAATGCTATTATGAGTATTTGTGAGACAGATAAAGTTTGGATTGCTTTCCCAGGACCCTTACAGCCACCCTTTCTCCTCATCATCCTCTTGGACCTTATCATCTGGTATCCTAATGATGCCTCTTAGCTGCTCAGAATTATCAATTACTCATATAGGTCCCATTTGAACTTGCTGCCATTCATGCAACAAATACATGGAAGAACAATTTTTTAAAAAACAGTATAGATTTCTTCTTATTTTTCACCCTTGCCCATTTCAATCAGATCACCAGACTCTTACTGAATCTCTGTCTGGGGTACACGATGATATAAACATATGCAATGCCACAGAACAACACAAGTAAAATGGTGAAAACGGGAAATTCTCTTATACATTTTTACCACAATTTTTAAAAGAAAAAATATATAAGAGAATGTCCAATTTTCAGCATTTTTCTTGTATTGAGGGAGTTTTGTAGGGTAGAAATCTGAAATGCCTAGAAGGAAGCAACCTACTCTTGGAGTCTATTATAAAAGTCGAAACTAACTGAAAAGATTATACAGGGGTTGCCTTGGAGGCCAGAAGAGAAGAGAATTGTTTTGAGATATGGACAGAAAAGCTAAACGACTAGTGTGTCACATGATTAGTAGATACCAGCACCTGCTTCAAGATTTTCCCTTCTCTAGGAAGGTGTTACCACTTCAGAAGGGATGGCTATATTCTAGGAGCAAAGTGTCCTTTAGCCTCAGCAAAGAGTGCTGTGTTCTCCTCTTGTCAGGGAAGCAGAGAGCCAGAGACTTGAAGGGAAAGTTGCAGATTTGAGCAACGATGACTTGGAGATAAGAGGCCCTTGCCCAGTTGTCTAGACATCAGCAAGCTTTCCCAATTATGTTGTGACTCTGGGGTAGGGGATGCAGAGGGAGGGCAGAACTAGAGTTGACAAGTAATGCTTACACTTGATTTTTCCACAAGTCCAATGCAAAATCATAGTTAATTTGATTTTTTAAAAAACAAAGAAATTGATATTTTTTGCACATTTGATTTCTAGGGTGCTAGGGCACAGCAAAATTAATTCTACTCTCCCATCAAATATGCATTTTGGCATCAGAAGTGCCAAGCCCTAATTTTCTGAAGTAACCAACATCTCCCACATTGGGCAAACCTTGAATTTGCAGTTGTCTTACCTAGTACATTTTAGTATTAAACTGAGTTAGGACTCTGATTAGAACAGAAACTGATTCATATCAGCTTCGGAGGGGGGAGAGGATTTTATGAGAACTGCATTGGAATACTATTCAGAAAATTCTCTCTCTCTCTCTCTCTCTCTCTCTCTCTCTCTGTCACTTGTGTTTTCTATTTTTCTTTATCTTGCTTCTAACGGACTTTTTTCCTGCTCCTCATTTCACATCCTTTGTTTAAGCCATCATGTTTTGATTTAATTTCAAAAACTTTCTGGCCGAAGTCACTCCTGATCACCTACAGAACATAGTCCCTCACTCTTTCTATCCCTCTGCCTGTACTTTCCTAGCTCACTTCCCTGCTCTATTCTTTTCCACAGTACATCTCATCTCATATACTACATATTTTATAAATTTTGTTAAATGTTAAGTCTGATTCCCTCTACCAGAATATAAGCTCCTTACTTTATTCATTGCTATATTCCCAGAGCCTAGACTAGTGTCAGATATAGCACTCAATAAATATTTATTGACAAAAAGATTGAATGAATGAAATTTCCACAAAGGGGAGTTAGTACCATTTCCTGGAAAAGTGAAGTGCTAATCACATAAAATAATACATGTGTATTACAAATGTAGCTCACCATACCTTGCTTCAAATTCCTTTATCTCATTTTATATGTATGGAACTGAGGCAAAGTGAATAAAATTACCTAATGCCATACTGTAAGCCTCTAACTTTCTAGACCAGCTTTCATGCTGCCCTTAACTACTTAAGGGTCTTAATTTAAAAGACTCAAAAATTAACAAGACTCCAAATCTGTCACTAACTTCCCCATGGCTGCATCCCTGGGAAACTTCTCTGATCCCTGCCACAGGCATGTATGCCTGGGAAAGCTATTTTTCACAAAGGCTTCTTCAAATGTTGTTCACCTGTGCAACTTCCTACAGTTGATAGAATAACAGAAAGTAGTATATGATGAGTGCTTTTAGATCATAGTCCAAGTCCTTCATTTTAAAACTGAAGCACAAAAGGTGTTCCTGATAACCAGGAAGAGTAAGCTGAGAATGCTCAAACCTGTACCATAGACCTGAGAAAAGCATAGTTTTTAAAAGTTTAGAGAAAACTGTCTTTTCAAGATTTCCATCATGGAATTTGAGAGGGCAGGAAAACCCTTTAAAAAAAAAAATCTTTGCCGGGCTCGGTGGCTCAGCCTGTAATCACAGCATTTTGGGAGTCCGAGGTGAGAGGATTGCCTGAGCCCACGGGTTTGAGACCAGCTGGGGCAACTTGGCGAGACCTCGTCTCCACAATAAATCAAAAAAATTAGCCAGGCATGGTGGCACATGCCTGTAGTTCCAGCTGTTTGGAAGGCTGAGGCAGCAGGATCGCGTGAGCCCTCCAGGTTGAGGCTGCAGTGGCTGGGAGTGTGCCACTGCCCTACAATCTGGGCGACAGAATGAAACTCCAACTCAAAAAAAAAAAAAAAAATCTTCTGTCTATGCAATTGAAAATTATCCTAATAGGGAAGAAAATGGTGAGGTGATTAAGGAAACCAGTAGCTGGTTGCACAAGGAATTTTGCTGTGAGCTGGGAGTACTAAAAAAATCTAAAATTATTTTTTGGAGAATGTGCCCCTTGTTATAGAGGATTCCCCTTCTAGATAAGTGTTCTAGGAAACCATCAGCATCAGTGTACCAGCTAGCATTGTTGTGAGAGGCTGCATTCAGCTTCAGTGAATTTTGGGGGGAGATGCTTTCAATACCTTTGCCCATTTCATGATGGGTGATTTGCAAGCTCACCTGCCCACACCACACTGAGTGTTCAGCAGTTTTTGACCAAAAATGTCATGATCCTCATGCCCCATCCTCCCTTTTTACCTGATCTCATCCTGAGTGACTTTGTTTTGCTTTCCTGGATGAAAAAACACTCCTCAAAGGGAAACGTTTTGCCCATGCTGAAGAGGTGAAACAAAAAAAACAGCAGAAGCACTGAAAGGCATTAATATTGGCAAGTTCCAAAATTGTTTTGGGTAGTGGGAAAAAGCATTTTGATAGGTTTGTTGCAACAAGCAGAAAGTACTTTGAAAGGTACTGAAGTTTAAATACGTAAGAATAAATGCACAATTTTTAATAAATAAACCATGGACTTTTGGGGGTCCCCTCTCATATATTATGGCATTTTTAGAAATAGGCTTACAGAAAGTTTTACCTTCTAGGGTATAAATATCTGTAATGTTTTAATTTGACCATACATTCTTTTTGTAAAGAAAAATAATAGTAATAAAATACATCTTAAAATTAAGCAAAGAATGTGTTTTTATTTTTTAAAAAAAGGAAGGATATATAATGAAAGACTATTACTAAGAACCATCACAAACATGTAGGAGTAATGCCAAAAAGCAAACATCCAAATGACCTGGAAATAGGAAAAAATTCCAGACATGGTAAAAGAAAACAAAACTGAACTCTTGAAAAAGATAGAAAAAGAGATAGATTTACTGCTTAAGGCCAGTAAAATAAGAGTGATAAAAGACAAAAGCCAAGCAAAGATCATACTTGCTGTCTGCTCCATCAAGGAAAATGATGTTTGGATGGAAATGGGAAGATCAAACAATTGATAAGAAGAGAATGAAGTCCATGGGGTAAAAAGACTGGAAGAAGACATCTCCCTGGACTAACTGAGGTTAGATCTCCTGATCCCAACAATTATGTCTTGGGGTAGAAGGAGAAGGGAAATATGAGAACTTGCAAAAGCAAATGCTTAAGGGAACAAACTTTAGTTAAATATGTGCCATATGCTGACACCTAACTTTTCGCCATAATTTCTATAGTAACTTTCAAGTTATACTTGTGGAGAAAATAAAGTATAAACCGTGTGCCAAGACTTTACTACGAGGCAGGTGTTATATTATTCTCATTATTATCCCCATTTTACAGACGAAGAAACAGAAACTAAATAAGGTTAGAAAATTTGACCAAAGACACATAGCTAGTACAGAG